TTGCCAGTGCAGGAAGCACTGTCCCAGAGGGTCACCAGCACATCCTGGTCCCCACCTACACAACCTTTGTCTCATCCTCTGGTTGTTTCCTTGAAGAAAAGAGCGCTCTGGGGCCAGCGGTCCTGACTGCACACTCTCACCTGCGGGACCCCATGGGCGGGCAGTGTGATATAGGAAGGGAGCCGGTTAAGGCGACAGTTTCTACATCCTGATGACCCCACCCTGGGAACTTATGAGTACTGGGACTCCTTTAAGAAAAAGTAAGTTCCAGATGGTAGAGTGATAGCCTAGCACACACAGGGCCCTGGGTTCAGTCCCCAGCATGTGTTTAAAACAGCACACTAATTCTCAGAAGAGAGTTTGTCTATTTCCACCACGAATTACAGGCCAAGTTTCATTGTGCTAGGACCCAGCCGTGTCCCTTACTGTGACCTCAGTGTGCCCAGCACCCAGTGGACGCTGCTGCAGAGGGTGGCGTTACTAAAACAGGCAGGACAAGTCAAGGGGGCGAGGCTTATAAGGATGACTGAATCCAGCAAGCAAGATTTCACATCCTACCAATGAAAAACCCGTTCTCAACTCTTGGACAACAGGTGGGAGCCCAGAGTGTTCCAGGGGAACGATACATCCTTTTCTTCCTGCTTCTCATGTCCATCTTGCACTAACTTTCCCCAGACCCAGAAAACCCCATCCTCTGAGTAGTGTGGGGTCTCGTACTGAAAAGCAGGGAGCAGGGTAGGTGAAAAGGTCAGGCTGGGTCGGGGTAGGAACAAAGAGGGAGAGAGGTGTTCAGAGGACCTTCAGCCAGCTAGAAACACAGAAGCAGAATTAAGGTCCCACAGGCCATGGTGGTAGACACCTGTGATCCCAGCACTTGGGGCTGAGACAATAGAGTGGAAATTAAATAGCAAGATCCTATCTACACACACACACACACACACACACAAGAGAGAGAGAGAGAGAGAGAGAGAGAGAGAGAGAGAGAGAGAGAGAGAGAGAGAGAGAGAGAGAAAGCGCACCCCAAATGATATTCTCGGCACTTGGAAAACTGAAGTAGGAGGATCGTGGTAAGTTCCAGGCCAGCCTACACTACAGAGTGAAATACTGTGTTAAAAAAAAAATTAATTTAGTTACCCCCTGCCTCCCCCTAACATCAGAACAGGGGCCAGGGAGATGGCTCATCAGTTAAGAACTGGTGCTACTTGTTCAGAGGACTTGAGTTCTGTTCCCAGCACTGGGTGGTTTACAACTCCAGCTCCAGGGGATCTGGCCCACCCTTCTGGACTCTGTGGGTGCCTGCACTCACGTGCGCACATACCCACACATAGACATAGACAGAGACACATAATTTAAAAACAAATCTTTAAAAAAAGCAGAACAACTGGGGTGGTGGTGTGCGCCTTTAATCCCAGCACTTGGGAGGCAGAGGCAGGCAGATCTCTGTGAGTTCAAGGCCAGCCTGGGCTACAGAGGGAGTCCCAGGACAGCCAGGGATACGTAGAGAGCTGGGATTGATTATAGGTGTGTGGCACCAGGCCTGGCTGTTGATGTGGATGGTGGGGACTCTAACTCGGGTCCTCCTGCTGGCTGGCTGAGCCGTGTCCCCAGGCCCCTGGCCTTTGTACTTCTCATTTAAAAACCACCAAGGCCCTAGTCTCCAAGGCAAGCTCCAGCAAACCCAAATGTTTGCCAGGAAACTGGAGTCAGCAGGATGCCACCTGCATAGTCAATTTTTACCCAGAATAGGGCTTTGCCTGCATTAACTTGTCACCAGCGGGATGAAACATGAACCCACTGAGCGCGATGGAGTTTGATGTGCAGAGTGGCTAGCTGCACAGAATGTTGAAGCCAAAAGCGCGTGAAAAGTCTATTTCTAAATACTTAGCCGCTCTTTCCTGGTGGGTGACAGGAGATCTGATACCCCACTCAGATCGTGTCAAGTCTGTCCCTGCCTTGGCTTGATGATGTATGTGACCGACCCCCTTCTCATCTTCCAAAGCTTCGATGGTGCCATTTCCCAGCGGCTTCTCAAACCACTGGCTAGTCTCGAGCGAGCAGAGGGACGGAGCTGAGCAAACAGGCTGATGGGAAGGAGCCTGGAGCTCTTAGGGACTGGCACAAGACCAGGATGGCCACCAGAGTGAGTGCCAGGAAAAGCTAAAGGAGATAAGCTCGGAGACTAGATAAGGACAGTCTGTACAGAACAGGAGCCCTGGCAGCAGGGATGTCCTTCCTCCCGACGTGCGGAGCAGAGGACCCGCAGATCCCCTGCTTGTGTCTAGGTTCAAGAAAAGCTCTCTGCCTTCCTCCAGCACCACGTCACAGCTGTGGCCTGAGTCCCCAGAGCAAGTGGGACACAGAGAGGAGAAGGGAAGGGCTGGACAGAGGGGAGAGGGGTCATAGTGACGGGAGCAGACATGTCACACCACACCAGGATCTAGTCCTGCGCCTCCGTTCTTCAGTAGCCGCAGCGGCTCCCAGCTGGCCTTGCCCTCTCTGGGCCTGCCTTCCCCACCTTCTGTTACCTTGCCTTTGTGATCGAGCGGCCCCACTCTCCCCTGGAACATAGAGTCCTCTGTGGCTAGACTCTGGGAGGGCTAAATGGCCAATGGACTTTGTGCATGATCCAGGCCGCGTGCATGGGAAGGAGAGGGAGGTCAGAGCTAGGAAATGTGGGAGGGGCGGGCAGTTATGGGCTCCCTCTCACACATCGGGTCCTGACCTCTGGGAAAAAAGCAAAGGGAACAAGTCTGAAAAAAGGAATGACATCCAATCCTGTCTGTGGACTTGGGCCAGCCCTGACCTTGCTCCAGACCCCCCTCCTCCATGGCCATGCCTACAGCAGTAGCCATGATGCCCCTGGCAGGCAGGCACTATACAAGGACACACACACACACACACACACACACACACACACACACACACACACACACACACACACCATTTGCCCAGGATGACTGAGGGAGCAGGACAAGGGATTTTGCATATTTATCCCAGGACAGCCCAGGACAAACCGGAACAGCTGCTCATCCCAGTAGAAAGTGAGCAGCAGCCCACGGCTCTGACAACAGGTGAGGGTGAGAAGAGCCTCCCTGGAGTCTGGAAACCTTCCTATACTCCTTCTCTTCTGACCACACCGGGTCTGTCCCTGTGATGGAGGCCTGGCTGATCCTGAGCCCTTGGGGTGGGCAAAGGAGGTGTGTGTGTGTGTGGTATGTATGTGTGTGGTGTTTGTGTGTGTGGTGTGTGTGGTGTATGTGTGTGTGTGGGTATGTGTGTTTGTGTGTGTGTGGTATGTTGTATGGTGTGGTGTGTGTTTGTGTGTGTGTGTGTAATGTGTGTATGTGTGTGGTGTGTGGTGTGGTGTGTGTGTGTGGTGTGTGGTGTGGTGTGTGTGGTGTGTGTTTGTGTGTGTGTGTGGTGTGTGTGT